ACGTATGTTAATTTAAACTAAGAATTTCACCAAAAGAGGAACTAAACTGTGACTGGTGGCCACTGCTTGATGTCTTAGTTGCAGATGGAAGAGAGAGATGTGCCTTTCTCAGTCATCAAAGTCTTGGCAGAAGTCACCTTGCCACTGTGGGATAGTGTGCCTGTGAGCTGAGAGTCCTTCTCGGATGGTTTCTGGACTTAGTGTCAACTTTGGAAAGGCAGCTGGCAGGAAATGGGTAAAGGATCTTCACTGATTTATATGGATGGGAGAATTTGGCTTCACAGGGTCCTAAGAATAGATTATATTCCATAGATAATGTTATGGAAGCAATACCATGAAAATTGCATGCAATATCATAACTACAATGATCAGATATTGGATCCACGATTAGCAATTACTGTGATCTCTGTTACATTTCTCAGTTCCATATACAGAACATCTCCAGGATTCAGTACCTTATACTGAGGTATTCGGAAGAGAATGATCAATGGAGACAATTCATTTTTTTCCCCTTAGTTTATAGAGAAAACAGAACCAAATTTTAGAGGATCCTGTTGGCCCATTGACCAAAAGGAGTTTGGTAGATGAGATCTCCAGAGAGAAGTCAAGAGATGAAAAACTACAAGAAAAAGTTACATGAATATCCACAAAAGATGGGCCCCATTCATGGGAGTTGTAAAAAGGAAGCACAAACCAATAGGTGGTAGAGTCAATCAAGATACAAGCGTCTAGATGAACGGATAAAGAAGATGTGGTATATATACACAATGGAATATTATGCAGCCATCAAAAGGAATGAGATCTTGTCTTTTGCAATGACGTGGATGGAACTGGAGGGTGTTATGCTGAGTGAAATAAGTCAATCAGAGAAAGACATGTATCATATGACCTCACTGATATGAAGAATTCTTAATCTCAGGAAACAAACTGAGGGTTGCTGGAGTGGTGGGGGTGGGAGGGATGGGGTGGCTGGGTGATAGACATTGGGGAGGGTATGTGCTATGGTGAGCGCTGTGAATTGTGCAAGACTGTTGAATCACAGGTCTGTACTTCTGAAACAAATAATGCAACATATGTTAAGAAAAATGAAAAAGAAGAAGATAGCAGGAGGGGGAGAATGAAGGGGAGTAAGTCGGAGGGGGAAACGAACCATGAGAGAGGATGGACTCTGAAAAACAAACTGAGGGTTCTAGAGGGGAGGGGGGTTGGGGGATGGGTCAGCCTGGTGATGGGTATTAAAGAGGGCACAGTCTGCGTGGAGCACTGGGTGTTATGCACAAACAATGAATCATGGACTACATCAAGAACTAATGATGTAATGTATGGTGATTAACATAACAATAAAAAAATTAAAAAAAAATTCTAATGAGAACAGAGACTAGCCTCAATCAGAGCTATCTGGTGAAAATATACAATCTTCCTTTGGATTACAACAATAACACTTACTAGACCAAAGCTAATTGAGTAACCCAAATAAAATGTTAATAATAAACATCATTTTTAAAGAAAAAAAAGATACAAGTGTCTACTTATACAGGATCGAAGGATTTTCTGAAACAAACAAGAATTGAACTTAAACCTGTAAGAAAATGCTAGTTATCTGAAAGTAATCATTAAAACAAAGCATATAATCCAAGGTAAAAAAAAAAAAAAAGCATAGACACTATGGGATATCCTGAGGTCATACTGGTACTATTGAACCTTTATTAGGACCCTTACTAAACTTTTATGGCATCTGCTATAGTACTCCAGAGGAACTCAATGGAAGTGATCAAAGGGCCATATCACAGGGCTTATGAGGACTGTCACAGGGAACTAAAGTTGTTCAGCAGGATAAACAAATTTAAAGGGTGACTTAATACAAGTTCACAATTAAAATAAAGGATTCTCCATGTGGATGACAAGCAGCTGCTCTTCATTAGGCTTTGGGGACTGGAGAAGGTGAAACCTAATTTAATTGCAGTAAGAAAAGCTTATATGGCATAAAAGGAAAAGCCAACCAACCCGTTCACACTTCTTCCAGATGGTGGGAGCTTTAGGCCTCCTGGACTGTTGTCACTCTCTGAGAAGAGACACCTCTTATATTCTGATCTCAGATGGACTCACCTCCTTCTTTCTGGAGGTTGTCTTTGTCTCTTCCATGTAAAATTACGAGACCCTCCATTGCTCACCAAGGACAGTCTTCCTCCCCTTGTCCCAAGGGTTACAGCACATTCCCTAAATCATGCACCCCACAGGTTTTCACCCCTCTCCTGTGTTCACTTCACTCCTTCCTTACTACAGATGCTTTGTCCCCATAAGCACTCCTTTGCAAACATGCTCAACTCTCTGGTTCTCTTTCTTTCTGTTGTGTTTTCTCTGGCAAATCCTCAAGCTGAGCTGAAACCACCTATATACTTTATCTGACCCTGGACTTGTGAAGGTGGAACTTGCTGGGAAAGAACAATGTGATCTGATGCCATTTTAAAATTAAATTACTTACCAATGTCCATGAATCCTACTACGTACTCCTGGGAGGTTTGCTTTTCTTTCTTCAGACATCTGATTGGTACTTCCACTCCTCTCCTCAACATGTTTACAGTCTTCCAAAAAATCTTGCTCCCATCTGGGGTGGATGACTCATATTTCATTGAGGAAATAGAAGGAATCAGGAACTAACTCATCTTTGAGATACCAAATCTTCCAATATACCTGCCTCTTATTTCTAAACCTATACTTCAGTCTTGTTATAATAGAAAAAAATATCCCATTTCACTTCAGAATTCAGTTTCTCCATGTATGCTCTGGGTGGATTCCTTCCTCACTGAAGGATTTCAACCCTATAATTCTCTTTCTCTTTCTTTTACATCATTACCTCTTTCCTCTCCACTGGATCATTTCCATTGGCACACACCTGCTCTAGTATATCCCATCTTTAAAACAACTATAACATCAACAACTTCTCTAGGCTTCATATTCTCCCTCAGCTTCAGCTATATTTTTCTGGTCCCCTTCCCAGTAAAGCTTCTCAGAAAAATGATCTTTACTTTACCATCTGAACTTTTTCTCCTGTCACTCTCTGGTCATCTCTCCTGTCTGGCTTTGGTCCATACCACTCTGCTAAAACTGTCCTTGTGGAGGTCATCGGCAACATTTATATTGCCAAATACAGTAGTCAATTTCCAATCTTTAGTCTACCTCTCAGCTGCGCCTGACAGAACTGACAATTTCTTTCCTTTTGAGAATTTTCCTCCTGGCTTCCCTGGCATCACCCTCTCCTGGTTTTCTTCCTACCTCACTAAATATCCCTCTTCTGTCTCTTGCTGATTGCACCTTTGCCTAATCTCTGTATGCTGGGGTGCCAAGGGCTTGGTCCTCAGGTATTTTCTGTATCTGTTCATTTTTCTGAGTCTCATCTAGTACTATGGTTTCTAATACCTCTATCTACTGATTGCCAAATTCGCATCTCCAGTCGAGACCTCACTCATGGACTCCAGATTTATAAAGATACTTCAAACTTATTATGTCATTTCATTCATTCAATTGCTCCTATTTCTGCACATTTTTATATCTCTGCAATTAGGATGCATCTTATGTTCAATGGCATCTTATAACCTCAGTCTGCCAAGTGAAGAGGTGTAGTCACTACTGCCCGCAAAGACACAAAACTTGCTCCCATTCTCTTCACTTCTTTGAGTGCTATGTATTGTTGGTACAACAGGAGTTAGTTTAACTGCCATTTAAAATATCTCCAAGAAATGATTCTTTGAATCACACAATGCTTCAGCATTGAAATAATTATTTTGTGTACAAAAATGCATGGAAACAAAAGAGTAAGGTGCAAATTTGAGAGCAGAGAAGTACATATTTGTCTATGGAAGAATGTCCACAACAGTCAAGTGCTCTATAGAACCTAAGATAGAAGAGGATGTGCACAGCTGATGACCTTGTTGTTGAGATACATAAATAAGGTTGACCATCACACTTTACCTTAAGGCAGAGAAAATTGCCAAGTCCTTTGCAATACAAAAAGACTTCAAATCCATAAAGGCTGGTATGACCAGTTGAAAGTGTTTTGTCTTGTTTTTCCTTTCTAAGTAATATGTAAGCTAATTGTGTGTCTTAGAATAGATTACATCTGCCATTTGGTATGTCCAAAATGGAGCTTGTTGTTCCACCACCTTGCACCCCGTGGGGAGGCTGTTCTTCCCTCAGTCTTCTCTAAATCACGTGACGGCACCCTTTTAAACATATTGCTCAAGCACAAAACTTTAGAATTATTCTCGGTTAGATGAGCTGGTGGTCACTTAGTGGAGGGTTGAGGCGAGCCGTTAGGTGAGCTGGAGATAAAAAAGTTAACAGCAAAATGGTAGAAGCAGATACACCTGGGAAGCTGTTTATAGGAGGCCTCAGTATCGAGACTAATGAAAAGACTCTTGAAGCAGTATTTGGGAAATATGGTCACATAGTGGAAGTTCTTTTGAAGGATCAGGAAACAAACAAGTCCAGAGGCTTTGATTTTATTACATTTGAGAGCCCTGCTGATGCTAAACATGCTGCCAAAGATATGAATTGGAAGTCTTTGGATGGAAAAGCAATTAAAGTGGAGCAAGCCAACAAACTATCTTTTGAAAGTGGTGGAAGACAGAAGCTACCACCTCATCCAAGAAACAGAGGCCATCCAAGAAGTGTGAGATGTGGAAGAGGAGGAAGTGGAGGAGCAAGAGGGCGTTCCTCACGTGGAGGACACTTGGATGATGGAGAATGTACTCTTAACTTCAACGTGAGTTCTTCCAGGGGACCCTTTCCAGTTAAAAGAGGCCTATCTTCAAGAAGTGGAGGTCCTCCTCCTAAAAGATCGGCTCCTTCTGCTCCCGGGCGTAGCAACAGAGGGATTGGAGGAAGAGGGCCACCATCACGTGGGAGAGAAAATTATAGAGGTCCTTCACGCAGAGCGCCAGTGTCTTCCCGGAGAGATTACTATATTTCACCAAGAAATGATGGTTACAGTACCAAAGATAGTGATCGTGATGGCTATGGTGGTGGTCGTGATAGAGATTATTCTGAACCTTCAAGTGGAGGCTCTTACAGAGAATCATATGAGAGTTATGGTAGCTCCCGTGGTGCACAGCCTGCACGTGGGCCCCCTCTGAGTTATGGTGGAAGCAGTCGCTATGATTATAGCAGAGCACGTGATGGATATGGTGGAGGTCGGGAAAGTTACTCAAGCAGCCAGAGTGATCTCTACATAAGTCGTGAGCGTGGTGGCAGACAAGAACGAGGGTTCCCACCCTCTATGGATAGGGTGTACCCTTCTCATGAATCATATGGTAGCTCAAGTTGTGGGGCTTCCAGAGGAGGTCGTGGGGGAAACCAATCTGAAAGAGGAGACCGTAGCAGATATTAAAAACAAGTTCTGTACCAATTTTTTGTCAAAGAGGAAATTTAACTCCTTTTTTTCTGTTACTATAGAACTAATGAAAAATGTTACTTTAATGGGGAAAGGCATATGTTAACTTGCCCTCTGTGAATTTTTGGATAAGATGGATAAGATAAAAAAAAAGTATTCAAAGTAATTTCATGATTGCTAATGTTAATTGATGAAAACTAGATAAGTTGCTTGAATGTAATGTCTGCATTGTTAAAATTTTCGGAGTAAAAATTTCCATGAAATGGGGAAAAAAAAAGAATTATTCTCGTTCCTCCCTTTTCAGAACTTCTAACTTCAAAACTATCAGCATTTCTTGTTAGTTGTACTCCAAAGTAAATCTCCAATGCATTTCCATTCCACTTCACTCAACTACCTTTGTCCATGGGACCAAGACATCTTGCCTAGACCATCGTGGTAGTTAGTTTTGCTGCTTCCATGCTTTCCACCTATCCTCTGCCTCATGCCTCCTACAATCCATTCTCCAAACAGTAGCCCAAAAAATACTTTCCAGCATAAATCAGACTTTGTTACTTCTCCTTTACATTGACTAAAATCCACACTCCTCCTCATAGTCCCATAGACTCTGAAGCCTTGACCTTTGCTTCCATGAGGTCTCCACATATCCCCAGCTTCCTCAGTAATTTTGCTCCCATAACCATCTGCCTTTCTGTTTCTCAGACTTGCTGACTTCAGTCTTACTTCAGGGACTCTCCCTTTGCTATGTCTTCTGCCTGGACCTTTTTCCTTCCAGACTTTTCCATGCAGGGCAGTTTTCTATCATTCAACTCTTAGGCCTTTCTCATTCAGACTATTTGAATGTGCCCCATCTTTCTCTACCACATCACTTATACAACTTTCTGTAGAGCACCTCCCACTTTCTGAAGTCATTTTGTTATTTGTTTACACTTGTATTATTTATTTCATCCAATGAAGATGTTAGTTCAAGAGGGAAAAGAATCATCTCATTTATTACTGTATCCTTGAGACTTAAGGTGGTGTTTGGTAACACGTAGATGATTGATCAATAATGTCAGAATTAATGAAGGAATACATTGTGATCTTCCACCTTTTCTTCTTTGAAGTGGTACCTCTGAATGTAAGAGTGCTACCATCCTTCCAAAACATGAAATGTAACACCCTTCTGGAAATTGGGAAATTCGTTAAACCTCATTTACCCTCTGCTTACTTATTTCTATTGTGGCCGTACAGAAATCCTTATATGCCTGGGTGATTTTAGAACTAAATGAAATAATTTATGCAAACAAATATCTTGCCAAATGGGAAGCTTTATTATATTACTCATTGAGAACCAGATAGATGCTCTACCCCAGCAATCCAAGTGCAAATCTGTGGTCTAGGAATATGCATAGATGAGCAAAGGGCTCTGCATTGAACAGCTCTGAACATCACAGATAGAGACACCTTCCCCTACACAAGCATTAATTTTTACATTGGTCTACATTAAACCAGTTTTTGAGTTGATTAAAACAATTGGGAAAATTAAGATGTTTACTTTTAAAGTTAATGAGATGGTGGGCGCCTGGGTGGCTCAGCTGGTTAAGCGACTGCCTTCGGCTCGGGTCATGATCCTGGAGTCCTGGGATCGAGTCCCACATCAGGCTCCCTGCTCAGTGGGGAGTCTGCTTCTCCCTCTGACCCTCTTCCCTCTCGTGCTCTCTGTCTCTCATTCTCTCTTTCTCAAATAAATAAATAAAATCTTTAAAATAAATAAATAAATAAAGTTAATGAGATGGGATTAGCATTTTAGGTTGTAAATATTGAAGACCCTGGCTTGCCCCCTGTTCCAGGTACTGGTTCACTCCAAAAGGCGCATTCCACTTTCTGTTGATATCAGTAGTCTGTGGGTTTCTAGTGAATAGTTACAAGACTAGATTTAAACAACCCCCCCCAGACAAAATTAAACAAACAAACAAAAAAACCCAAGACTCTCAGGAGAGGATCTTAGTGACTCAACATGTCCGTCATGGGATTCAGTGCATTTTCATCCTAAATAGATGTTGTGTGGTCAGAAAAAACGTGTCACAAAAGGGAGCCATGTGCTCTGTGCTGTCCTTTGCTTGTCAGTTTTTATACAAGGGTGGCATGCAATGCCCTGGAAAGCAATGTCATGGTGGAATTATGAAATATTTTATAGCAGCACCCAGTCTGCATGCTCAAAAGCCCCAATGACAGAGAACAGAAATGTGACATGTAAAATTTATGTGGGAAACATGCCCCAGGTGCAGGCAAGACTTACCAAAAAACCAGAGGAGGAGATCTGGGGCAAAGAAAAATAGTCAGTGGGGGTGGAAGGCAGGAAAAATTTAAAAAAGCTCTGGGTACCTTCAAAGTTCAGGCTTTGTCACACTTTCTGCCTTAATTCAAATACTATGAGATACGGTCCCCATGGACTGGATATTGAGGAGAAGGAGTCATATGGTCAAAAACACTGCCCAGGACACCACAAGCAGGGACTTCTTGGCCTCCCTGCCTGGATCGGCTTGGCTCCTGGGCAGGGGTTTGGGAGGGGGGAGAAGGTGACTCCTGATGGGGTTTGGACTTGCCCCTTTCTCTGAGCAAATAAGCCAGTAGCATTTGGGTTAATGAACTGTGCCTTTTAATAAATGGTTCTTATCTCGCCAGAGTGGTGCTAAATTGTCAGGATTTTAAATTAACTTAATAGTTTCGTGGATGGTACTTATTCACTGGTTACTCGGAAAGTGAACGCAGCCCCCAGCCTGGGCTTCTTATTGAATTATGCAACAGTTAGTTATTTCATTTGGGTTTAAGGGGAAATTAATGCAATGCCTCAACGCCCCCTTAATGGGCATTTCCAGGCCTACCCTAAACTAAAAGCCAGTTGTTTATCATTAGGTCACTCAGTGTTCCTCAGGCTTCAAGAAGAGATTGCTCTCACCCAGGAATGGCCAACAGGTCTTGGAAACACCCTTCCCTGCTGGAAGAGGGAAACAAGATGCCTTGTCTTCCTTTTGTTCACTTGTGCAAAATATTTACCGAGATGGGCAAACCCCTATCTTGTCTATAAGGAACTTATAATCTAGAAGTGCCATAGGTAGAGATGAGTGGTGAAATTCAGGGACTTCTGAAGAAGAAGAATTACTTTTGTCTGGGGGAGAGGGAGAATTGGATGACGCTTCTAGGAGGTAGTGTTTGAAGAGGGTCTTGAAAAAAGGCATCAATTTATATGCATAGAAATGTGAAGAGCATTTCAGGTGGAATTTGAATCTTGTGTCCCTGTCCCTCATCATGATCAGCTTGTAGGTAAAAAGAATGGTCACTTTTTGAACATTTGCTGTGATATTATGAAAGTTCATAGCAAGAACCTTATGAGATAAAAAGCAGCATTGTTTCCATTGTACAGATGAGAAGTCTGAGCCTCAGAGTTGGGATATCCCTTGCCCAGAGCCCCACAGCTTTGGACACACAAAGATTCTAACTAAAGTTCAAGTTGGTTAGTAACATTGTTTCGGGGCAATTCCTTTGTACAGAAATTAACTGAAGCGGGATCCTCACCCCAGAAAGCAGATTCCTCTACCTGCATCAGAACCTATGTTTGGAAAAGAAGGAACAACTTAACATGTAGCTAGTGCCCATTCTGTGCAAAGCACAGTGCCTGCCAGGTACTGTAGCAGATATCCATGTGACTAAGCCACTCTTTGTGCTCTCCAAAGCTGTCAGGACATGCAGAGAAGGAGCCGCATCCCTAACCACTGGAGACATGCAATCCACGACAAATCACGAATGTCGGCAAGACAATAACAGGTGCACAGCCTAAAATACTAACTGCAAAGTGAAATGTAATAAGACTGCAGATTATTAGTATCAAAGGCTGTCTGAGAAGCAGAAGGACACAAGGCGAGTGTGTAAGGGAGGCTGAGCATGGGCACTTCCCTGTGTGCACATTCAAGCTCAATGAGTGCTGCATCTATGGACCCCACCAGTGGCGGAGTAGCGTGGAGCTGGTTAGAAACAGCCAAGGGGCCTCTTTCCACAGAGTGGGGCACAAGTCCTACAGTAACCGACTGGGATCACCCTGCTGGGAACTTCAGGTGTCTCTGCCCCTGGGCAAGGACTCTACTGTGACTGAGGAGAAACAGAAAACAAAACCTGGCCCTTTCAGCTCCTCCGCAGGTCCCTGGGAGAGGCACAAGGGGGCCTGCTGAGTGGAGTGACCTTGAGAAGGTCAAGCTGGCCTCTGAAGTGGTGCAGCATCACTGGGGCAGGAGGAGCCGTGCCAGCCATAAAGGAAATATTGTATATAAAAGATCTGTTTTCCCTTTCTTGTGGAGCAGACACAAGGCACTGACTTCATTTTGCATTCATAAAGCCTTCCTTTGGAAGCGCCTTTAAGTACTGCTGAGGGAGGCTTGAAGAAGCATGTTGGAGGGTCAAATGCACATCTCCTTGGGCTTTCTTTCATCTGCCTTAAAAACAAAAAATCTCTCCTTTTTTAATCACCTCTTCCTCTAAAAAGGGCTAATCTTTTGTTAATAGCAGCTTCCCATGGCACAGAATCTAAGCAATTAATACGGGAGAGCAAGAGAAAGACAGGTGGAGGGGCGCTCAAATGAGACGAGAAGAGAAGACGGTGAGTCAGAAAGGGTGAAGGACATGGCAGCTGGCTGCTGGTCACCCAGGGAGGGAAGGAGGGGTGGCAACTTCAAGGTGCTCACTGAGGAGGGTCTAGGCTCAGGGGAAGCTGCTTTCGGGGTGCAAGCCTGCAAATGTGGCCAGTCGATTCAAACTAGTCCCTTCAAGGAGGGGGGATTTCAACTGGTTGTATCCTTTGCACCTTTTCTTCCTCCCCTTACCCTTCCGTGGTCCCTCATGCCAACCTGTTTTTGGTAATTAGTTTGCCTTTGCTGGAGGGCCACATCCTTCAACTCTGTTGTAAACAGATTCGTTATCTTCCCAATTTCTGACTATGGTTGTCGCTTTAGAATGACATTTCTTAAAAAAAAAATATGCTACTACTCTGCTTCAACCTTCAATGGCTCCTCATTTCTCCTGGGATAAGACTTCAAACACTACAGCAAGGTTTAAGGTTCTTGTGTCCTGAATTTTAAAAGCCTTTCCCACCTTATTTGCT